AGGCATGTTTGATGCTTTCCTCTACCGGAGCTGAAGCTGGAATTAAGTAATGAATAAACATGTCTTACTGAAACAACTTTGACATTTCAACTAAGTTTACACATTAATTAAGATAAGGTTGTCCTAGCCCCCCAAAAAAAGGAGCAGAAATTTGAGAGAACCCAGTGGCTGAAGTGTAGTATAAAAAAGCTGTATGAACACTTTGTTAAATGCACAGATTTAACCCTGCTGTTTTGCTCCTAATCATTATTAATTGCCTCCAGTGGTGGACATTAATTTCCCTATTGCAGCAACATGCATCTTGAGTTTGGGCATATCCTAATATATCAAGTGGGACAGGTGATATAATTCAGCTGGTCACAGCTGGAAAGAAGACAGCCACCCACATGCAAGCAGTCTGTCAGCCTTAGTTACGCTGCAGACACCACCACAGCCTCCATAACAACATTGTACATTTATCTCTGGGGATAACTTTACAAGAAGTACAGCCGATCAGTTCATCCTATTTAATCTGCTGTTGTCTTAGCAGTAATAAGAATGCCTTAGCCTCAGCTTTAGCTCTGAAGTTTGGGGGAGGAAGAACTCACACGTGTCTGGACTGATCCGCGGAAGAGCCTGACCCTCTCCTAGTCTTGAGAAAGGGGAAGGAGTGGGGATGGTGTCCCAAAACAGGGCATCCCCCAGTAGCCAAAAGTCCAGTGCTGCCATCTGGACCAGGACAGATTTGCATTCATATCCCTAAAGTATCCAATTCAGACTGGAACCCGCTTCCCAAGCATTTTATTTGTAGGTTCGTGTAATGATCACTGAGCCAGAGAAACAATCCCAGTAAATTAACTATTCCTTCCCTGTGGACAAGGGTGGGAGAAGTGGACACAGGTTCACCTTGGAAGATGCTGGTGGAGAGAACACTCCGTTTGAAGGCAAAAGACGTGGCTGCAAATGCCTGCTCAGCCTGCAGTCCTGGCGGGAGGAGAACGTGCCTTGCTCTCTTCTTTGGGGCAGTTTCCACTCTGGACTCAGGAGGCACATACGTTTATGCAAGAAGCTTCTGGGTTTCACGATAGCACATATGCAGGTGAAGAATGTTTCCTCAGAAAAAAAAAAAAAAGCCTTGCCCAAGCGTCCTGATTATATAGTTAATTAAACATGCAAATTACTGCTAACTCAGAGTTCCTTTCCCGGCATGCCCCATAACTCCACCTCAGCAGCCGTTATGTTGTATGCACTGAATTTAAGCTAGAAGATAAAGGAAGTTTCAGGAAATAAAAAGCTGCATAAAAGGATTTTGGGATTTGAGGGTTTAAACTAAGCGGGACCAGGTTCCAGAGTTGCCTTTCTTAACCGCAATTAACTGTAATTTTTCAGCACTGCAATTATCTTTATTTGTAGTAACCAGCAAAGGATTAGCCATGGAGTTTAGCACTTTGTTTAATAAATATGCACAAGTTTGGCTGCCTGTCCTAACCGTTGTTGAATGTGCAAAAATCATTTGTTGAGAAAAAAAAAGAGGATATTTAGGATGGTGAAAATTCCTGGAACAAGTTGAAATGTACAAAAATCATTTGTCAAAGAAAAAAGAGGAAATGTAGGATGGTGAGAATTCCTGGAACAATATCTTCCATTTCAAAATTTTTAGTGAACTGTGAAAGCACCTTTCCTAAAGGAAGTTTCTCTTGAATATAAAATGACAAATGTATTTTTGGAACCCGAGTCTCACACTCCATTAAAAAAGTAGTTTTATCACGACCAGATTAGTGATGCCTGGTAACTGCTTTGGTCTTGAGTCCACCACTGTAAAGTGAAATGAAAGGGTTTAAAAACACAACAGCTACTTAACAGAAAAAAGTCCTGTTGTAATAGCCTGACATGAACTTGATGGGTCTTCTTTCTGTTTCTTAGTTCCAGTGCCTTTCAAATTATCCTAATCATATAGGTGTTATCCTGCAAATTCTTGCTGCATTTTTCAGATATGCCTTATCATTCAAGGATGGCACCATAAAAGTGTGGTTGTTTAATGAATCAGAACATTGAGGTAAAACTAGTCCTTAGCATCTTGCCATGTAATAGCACTTTACACCAAGCCTAAAAGCATTATATAGTGTGTTTTTAAATGCTCGATGATTAAGCTTTATGCATTTAACCTAGCTGAAAATCATAAGTACTAGAGATAAAGGAAAAATATGTTTACAGGGCTTTGAAAGGGTTTAATTCTTCACCACATCTGTGAATTATTCCATACCAGGTCTCCCAAACGATATCTTGATAATTAGATCTCCATTTCTTTAAAGGTGACATTCTGTCCTGACAGCATCTAAATTACGTTGTTTTCGTTTTCTGTTGGGACAACACATTGTCAAAGTAAATCACAGTGCAGTTCACTCTGCCTCCTGACTTTGATCCCTGCCTTTTCCCACAGAAGAGCCCGGGCTGTGACTCGTCGGTGCACTGACGCTGATCAGACTACAGGCATCTGGGGCTGTGTTTACCACTTTCTCCTTCCCCAACTTTGTTGGAAGGAGCCAGCATTCCTCCTGCAGTGGATGGGTCTGGCTCCTCAACTACTTGACCCTTCTAAGCTTCCTTGGAAAACTCTGTCTGCTTAGCTGTGGACAGCCTTATATTTCATCTGGACTGGCACCTGGTTTGGAGGTCTGGAACACAGTGTTTATGCTTGTCTCATTTTTTTTTTACCACTTTTAAGGCATTCAGTTTTACTACCCAGGAACCAAGTGAAGGTTTTAGTAGGGAAGAGATGTGCTACAGAATCCAACAAGGAAGGAGGACAATTTTGGATATGCTGCAGTTGCTGTCATGAACTTAACACGAGCGGTTTTTTTATTATCTAGGCAGTAGGAGTGTTTGGGTTAAGTTGCCAGTGCCACACCATCACAAATCTCTCTGCCAACCTGTGAATCAGACACTCATGATCAAAATGGGTCAAATAAACTGTTGGGTTGCCTGTTTTGGATGGCTTGGCTGAACAGCCTTGTTTTAGCTAGAACTGTTATTTATGAGTTATCACCAGAAGATTCCAGTGTTATGATCACTGTTATGAACAAGAGTTTAAAGTAACAAAGGCTTTGTACTAAAAAGGAAACAGTAAGGAAAAAGCCTTGCACAGTGGTATGCAGGCTGAGTTCCTTACAGCAGTATACATTTCCCTCTTAATTAAAATAGTTAAACTGTGGAACTAGACATTGATGCAATATGTTGTTCCCATTCTGGAAATACATTCACTAAGAGTTAATAAATAATCTATGAATTCTAATCTTTTAAAGTCATTTCAGAGGGATGAAGTCATCTGCTATAATTGTAAATGCAGTACCTCTGCCTTCACTGCATTCAAATGTAAAGGTGAGAAACTGATTAGAGGTGCCGGGTTGCTAGAGATAGATGCACCAATTTAAATGCCACACCATTTGTTTGTAGCAAATTGAGTTGCTAGAATAATATTTCCTTCTATTGTAAGGCTTTAGCCCTGGATTTCCACCTGCTTATCCAAGATTTAACTGGGCAAAGGGATTAATTTTCTACTTACTAAATCTGCAGGGACTGCCTCAATCAATACAGGCTGCCTAGATAGACCAGATTTTCCAACTACACAGCACCAGTTACCTGGTGCCAGACCTACAAGAGCATCACACTCTCATTTTGACATCTGAAGCAAATCTTGCTGCGGGAGAGCAGTTGAAGCTGCTTTTGATAAATGTAGGGGCGTTGTTCTCCTTTGCTTTGCTTTTAAAAGGAGCTGAGATGACTTGACTGGAAAATCAAGCTTTCCATGTCCAATTTCAGACCAATTTCAGACCCTAAACTGAAAGTGCATGGCAGGCTGTAAATCTCCCCAGGTAGCGGGGTGACTAGTCATTGCTGAATTTGGTTTCCCACCTCCAGACTGCTACCAGTCCCAGGGTGGATCATTTAAAACTGGCTTGAGGGTGACTGTTGTCCAGCAGTTGCAATGAGAATTGCAGCATTAAATACTCTCATCTCTGATGCTCATGTTTCCATAACATCTTTAATTCTCTTATCGACAGTCAAATTAGCTGACACGATGCTGTCAGTCATTGGAGGCAAGGATAAGCCATGTCAAGTTTCATATTCACTCAGCTCCCATCAGTTGTTTACTCATGACAAAATGTCATGGTTTGGAGCATGACTTCCCTCATCTGTAGTGAATAGTGAGTTTTAATTGAAAATGCATCACCAAAGGGATGCAGTCAAGCACTGCTGTGTTTCTTGGTGATCACAAGCCCAAAGGGATTGATTTTAATGAAGCAGAGAGCCCAAGAACTCACCAGCTTAAGTCCCACCTAAAGGAAACCTCAAGCACACTTGAAAGTGCAGAAATACTCGGGGCAAAGATCAAACTTCCCTCGCACCTCCTGGAGTGTAACAGAAATGTTACTTGCTAGAGATCCAGCCCCAACTAAACCTGGTGCTGCGGAAATGAAAGACAGGCTGCACTGCTTTCCTAGGTCATTCAATACCCCAGCATTTTAGGTGCATATCAATGGCAGCATTGTTCAGTGTATACATTATATAGAGACAGTCAAAAATGGTATATCAATGATAGCATCTTTAATAGCCATAAAAATAAAGTGAGGAAGACAGGGGGTGATAAATAAAGAACAGCCTGTATTGATCCATCTGCATCTGGTTTGTTAGATTTCTTATACAGTTCATGGGAACAAAAATCTGTCAGTTCGCCTTCCTTCAAAATAAACTGCTTTCCATTAACAGGCAGCAGATGATCTCATGGGTTTTAAAGAAACATGCAAGAGGGATCCGCAAAAAAGGATATGATGAAGATTATTAATATAGCAATAAATTGCATCAGCCTTGTCTCTTGAAACTAGGGCAACTGCACTCAGCAATAAAAACAATAATAATAGTCTGAAGCTCTTCTGTAGCTCTGTAAACTCCCTGTGTCACTCACTCTTAACTGTAGCTTTAAAAGTGGTGCTTAAGCCCATCTGCTAGGAAAATACCACTTGCAATGCCTTTAGCGTTCATTAATCCTGGATCCCACCTGTGGCAGCTTCACAATGGTCCTGCTGAATCTGAGGACTGTCACACTCACCTGGCAGAAGATGAAGAGGAGCTCTGGTGTCCCTCTGAAGTCACCTTAGAGAACCTGGACTGCAGCTATCCAGGCCAGTCTTCCATGGGCACAACTTGCTGTGTATCTCTTCACATCTGGTGAACGATCTACAGAAAATGACACTCATACAGGAGCCTCGGGGCTGCACCGTAGCCAGCAGGATGAGAGAGGCCTGAGAGTGGAGGAGACATGAAAGCTTTATGGTATTTATACGAATGCTGGCAGATTGTGCCAGAGCTACTGTTCCCCCTGGGTATTGTTTCATCCTGAGGCAGCACACTTCTTCACCAGTCTGACTGTCCTCTGCCTCAGCTGCCAGTGGCTTCCACACCTTCAGTGGATGCTCTCTTTAGGTATTGCTCAGGGCGTGCTGGCACATCCCATGAGACCAATGCCTCTTCCTACATTCAAGGTTGCACAGAGAGAGGGAGAATGAAAACACAAGTTAAACTTCTTTTTGCTTTCTGACTTTTCACTGTGTTCCCTTTTCCAGAAAGAAAGCCCTCCTCTCTTTCTTTCAAGGATCAGATGTCTCGAAAATTCAGTGCCCCAATAACTGGAGTAAATTTCATCTCGTTGTATAGCTGCGTTGGAAAGGAAGAGGACACAACCAGAAAAAAGGGACTGAGCCACTATGGACTCGGTGGTCGTGGGACATCCCTCCATGAATGCAAAGGCCAGGTGAGTGACTAAAGCAGAGGTTTCGCTTACAGTATACGCTGATTTTGGCAGATTATTGTTAATATCACAGTCTGTTTGGAGGCAAGTACATAGGGGATTTTTGAATATGTGTGTACATGTGTTTGGTGGGTTCCACGTGCTCTCCAATATGTCAAATATTTTTCCCTTTGAGACCCCAGGTGCTCAAGGCTACATTCCCAGAGCATGTGGGAGGTCTTTCACAGGGCTGCTCTTTGCCTCCACGGAGAGGATGCCTGAGTGTTGAGTGCATGCTGTTTACCCTCCAGCAATGACACATGCTTACATATTTTGGAGGGGAACAGCAACATTTCTAATAAAGACCCTGCTAAGCAAATGGCTCAGAAATACTCCCTATTTTCAGTTAATTCAAACTGTTGAACATCATTTCTGCTGGGTTTTGAGCATGATGCGGTTCTGATATGTCATAATGCATTAGGACTTTGCAAGTATTTGCTCGTATCAGTTTCTGGTTTCCTGCAATACAAACAAACTGACTTATTTTCTTATCAGATTACGATTTCCCTGAGTCACAAGAGGAATAAAGCCCTGTTATAGACAGGAAGATGCAAAGAGCTTCTAGAAACCCGGTGGTGCCACATTTAACCAGCCCTTTAAATTCCAGTTACTTTACTTTGTTTGCCCGAAGAGGTGTTATTAAAGCCACTACTGATTTAAACTGTTTTCCAATTGAGTCAAGATGAGCAGAGGAGGGAGCAGCAGCCAGAAATACCTGTATGCCACCAATAGACTTCTACTGACCAATTTTTACCTTAAAGCTAGTGGTGGTGTGGGCGAGAATGACAACCAGGTTGCAAATCATGCCATTACATTTGGAAAGCATTGCTTCCTATGTACGATGCTCACGTGCTGAAACACATCATCTTCTAAGCAAGGTCACCTTCTAAGGAAGGTGTGACAGCATCCAAACTGACTGTCCTCCCTGATCCATGCTGACTCCTAAATCATGCTATGGGGCTGATTGAGGGTGAGTTCATTGTCCCAGGTCAGGATCATGCTGACAACCTCATGGAACAGACAGCTGTCTTCCAGCACCTGGGAATGGGTCGAGGTACTGCTATGGAGAGACACATTATCTGGTGCAGCTCCCATTGCTCTATGCAATGTGTATTTTAGATGCTACTATACAGGGTATTTTAATATAGTTCCCAGCACATCTTCAAGGAGGGAGGCATAGGAGGGTCGAGCAATATTGATATAAACAAGCCTTTAACTCAATGTCGTTGTTTGACAGATTTGAGTTCTTTATCCTGCTTATTTATCACATATGCAGACACGCACACACACGTACATACACACACTTAAATAACCTCCACAGTTTAAAGCCCTGCTACTCCCTTTGTCCTTGTATCCTTTCCTCTAATGTTTATGACCCATTTTCAAAGGCATGCACTGGTATCTGATGATCTGTGTCTTTTCAAGTCTGCATGCAGACATGCAATCTCCCTGTCTGGGTAGTGCTTCCAATGGACAGCCTTCCAACAGACTCACTTACCTCTTCCCTGCTTTGCCCCCTTCCCATGGATAGAAATGACTGATGAAGCCCATTACTTATCTATCAGATAATAGATCTACTTTGACACAGATTCCTTATAAAACTCTCTCTTAGAAAAATTTGTTCTAGACATTGAGGAGGCATTAGGCTAAAACATTGCTTTTGTTGGGGTGGTTAATTTAGCATTTAAATTCTTTTTCTCTATTGATGACTTCCTTTGTGGAAAATCGGTCCTCTATGTACAGCAGAATTTAGCTGATCCATACTTTTGTGATAAAGGGAAAAGGAAGTGTTATAGTAAAAAAATTCTCTCTGTAACTCTGACAGCATCATGTCTTGCACATATGAATAAGATGCATACAGAAAAATCCTGACACCCAAATAGGGAAAAGATGGTTCCCTGAAAAGAGTTTTAGTTACTTTTGGTAATTCTAGAGCACTGCCAGTGATCGGGAGAGAAACAACTGTGCTTTGTATCTTTGGCCACATTTCAAAGCTCTGTGCCCTACCACACCAAGTACAGAACAGTTCAAGCCCTGAAAATGTGCAACTCAACTGCGAGACGCAATTCATTTCTGTGTTCAGGGCCATGCTTCTGCCCTGCCCCAGCAGTGTCTGGGATCCCATTGCACATTCTGTTTTCCAGCTGCATCAAACCCTTGCAAGTGCATCCAAACCCAGAGAAACTCAGATTTGCTTGTTGGTTCACAACACACATTTGACAAATGGAAAGATGTTCCCAGATGAAATTCCAGGACTCCAAACCCAGGCCAACATTTCTAACACAAGGAATTTCCCAGCACTTCAAACCACAACATCTGGAGTTACAGCAGTCGTTGCAGGGCCTGCTTATCAGACAAACAGCTTCACACAGCCTGGCAGATGAATAGCTCCTATCTGTTTTGTCCATCACATCGCACAGAGCAGAACAGCTCTGAGGGGGCTGTATGGCCATACCCCAGCATTTCCCCCCCTGCCAAAGCGCTCGCACTGCTCTTGGTGCATCGGTGTCCACGCAGGGGGTTCCTGGCTGGGTGATGGGTGCATGTGTGCTCCTTCCAGCAGGGACATGTGTTGCTGGGGCCTCTCTTCCAGAGCCTTGCGGGGGCATTTTTTTCACACTCCTTTTTCCTACAGACTGATGTGCCTTCTCCCTGGGGATCTGCAAAGAGTAGCAAGGAAGAGAATGGCAGTGGCTGTTTGGTACACATCCTAGAGGGGGATGTATAGGTTACTACAGTTTCAAATTTGGCAGAGCTCCCAGAAATATCTCTTGCAGAAATATATATTCCCAAAATGGCCTAAAAATAACCCAGTGGCAACCTGAAGTGTATATAAAGTTTGAAGATAAAGATACAGAAGGTATAAAACACGTTTCTCTGCCTGTGTGTGTCCCAGGCAGCACCTTTATGGTGGTGTTATTCCAGCCCCAGGCTTTACATCATGCCTCATCCCTGCACCACAACACTCTGCTCCTGGTTTGAAGGACTTGTCTTGAAAGCAGCAGAAATATTGCTGATGCCTGGGCTGGATCGAGAGGCACCCATGCCTTTGGAAAACATTTTACTTGTGTGTATGAAATGAGATCCTCATGAGATACAGGGTGTCCTGTGAAAAGGAAGGCTGAACTAAGGTGGGGTAGCGTGGTTTGCCCCAAAACAGCAGGACCTTTTCCAGCACCTCAAGCAGAGGTTTAGTGTGTTGACAACACAGCATGGAGCGGGAGGCAGGAGTCCCCACTCCCCATCCAAGGACCACTGCTCTTCACAAATGTTGTAAAACACTCAAAGTTAAAAAAACACCCAAGCTCCTCTCATATGCCATTAGTTTTAATATTACCTGCTCTACAGAAATAGAGTTAAATTATCTTCAGCAGGTTTATCTCAATTTTTAACAGCAGTGTCTGAGAGTTAACAGAGTCCTTCACAAATCCCATATCCAAAATGAATATATGAATATATTGAGAAATTAGCATGAAATGGACAATATGGCAAACTTATTTCACATCCAGACAAAGACAAATGAAAATCAAGAATCTCTGCAGCATCCTAAAAAAAAAAAAAAAAAAAAAAAAAAAAAAGATTACACTTGAAAAGGCAGCAGTGTTTTTTTAATGGCCAAAGATTGATTCTTGGGACCAGAAGCCTGAACCAGCAAACAAAGTACCTGTTTCTGTCTGCCCCATACTGAGAGCTCTTCACAGCAGATCTGAGTAAATAATTTGCAGCAGATAATTTACCTGCACAAAAGCTTTCTTTTTTTGCTTACTGAATGTCAGTACCTTGATTGTGGCTTTCTCTAATTTATTTGTAATTCAAATTTACTTGTCCAATTTATTATCTTTCTTCTTCCCTAACAGGTCAGATGGACTGTGAAGGGTCTGCTACAAGTATTTCAACCTGCCTGTTCAAAAGACAGCTGAGTTCATCATGAGTGGTATCACATAGGGTTGTGGTTTTTTTTTTCTCCATCTGCAGGAATGCAGATTTTGTGATCAGGGGAAAAGCTTTGGGTTGATAATATAAACTTTATACTGCTGGAGAGGTTTTTCTCCAAGCTTCAGCCCTGGAAAAGGGGTTGTACCGTAATCTCTGCTGTCTCTGTGCTGAGCTGAAATGCAATGCTTTTATTACATTCACTTGAAATAACGGCACCTGCATCCCCAGGACAGGATGCCAGTGGCACAGTCAAAACCTCATTCACTTGCTTGTGTGCCGGGGCTCTAGAAAAATTTCCGAGGAACTGGGACCCCTGCTGCATTAAGCAGTGTCCCTTTTAAATGTACTAATTGCAGAGCATAAAATGAAGAGAAATGGTCACAGCAGTGGTGGATAAAGAATTTTTGTCCCTCATTAGGCAAGTTTAAGCTTGAGACTCTGGTAGAGCTTTGTCATCGCAGCCCAGCACTTCTGCTATATGACAGTATTAGAGCGTGCAGACTTCAAATGGGCTTTCCATGAGCATTCATGCAAGTCAGGCTCCATCACTCTAATGTCTGCAGAAAGCAAACAGAAAAGAGCTGGGAAGTTTGGGCAAAGGGAATCTATTTTCAAGCCACGACCAACACTAGTCAATGTAATCCTTTTCTTGGTCCCTAGATGTGAGAGATGATTAAAAAAAAACCCAAATCAGAAACAAGTCAGCATCAGCCAGCCAGGTCTTAATGGGACACTAGCTCTTAATGGGTGTTTGCTCCTATTCACACTGCTGCGTACTCTTCTTCCTTCAACTTACATAGTCAGATATAATTAGTGAATAAGTTTATGCAAATATGAGACAAGGATGGGTTTTTAGAGCAGGACTTCTAGGTTAAAGTGGGTTTTAACTAGAAAGCTACGCACCCTTTTCAGGAAATGACCACCTCCACCTCAGACAGCATTTCTGAAGATTTACTGTAAAACCCAATGAAAATTAGGCAAAACTTGGGAAGCTTGGTTATTGTTTTCATTCATCTCATTTGCTAGTGCAAGTGTATGAGGAGTGAGGTATATGTGATACGGTTTGGCTTTGTGTTTGAAATCCTAGTGGTTTCACAGCCATTTTCCCTTGCCTGCGGGCTCTGCCCCATGGGTTGAATACCTTTCTGGAGCATCAAACACATCCAAATGTGGATAGGCAGAGGTAAAAGCTGCAGATGGTCAAAGAATCAGCTCCAGTTTTGCCCAGAATCCCCAAAGAAGGGCTCATTTCTGTCATGCTGACAATGGTGCTCGCCACTCCAGCAACAGTTGCCTCTGAAAATCCCCTGAAATATTTTCCTCTCCTTTCACTTTTCATTTTCACAGGCCTTTGCACTTCTCAACCCTGATCTTAGGTGAAATGAGAGCACCAAATTAACTCAAGAGTGTTGTGCTTCTGCAGGACAGGGCAGAGTCCCAGCAGAAGCCTCATCTCATGACACTACAAAAGTGCCTGGTGCAACAGTATTGCCGAGTGAGCATCCCCACCTACCACATACTGCCAGCCTCTGGGGCAGTACAGACTCAATTGCATCACATCAAGGTCAAGGACATGAAATACGTGCCCATACACCAGACCCAGCAGGCTATGGGGTCCCAACTGTGTTCCCTGAGACCACAGTAGTGAGAATCCTCCATGAGCTATTTCTTCCTGATGTAAAGTGGGGCTGGCTGCCTCTAGCCAGCTGACTGGCAGCTGAGAGGCTCTTAATGAGCATCTCTTCCCCCTTGGCAGTGCTCACTGAAGGAGACCTCAGCTGGGAAGGAGAGCTGCCGTATCGGGCTGAATTACCCTGAATTATTCTTTGCGCGTCTAGAAAGACATAGCTGCTATTTAGAAAAGCTCATAAACCAACAATGCATCCAGCATATAAAAGGCAAATTAAAAAAAAAAAAAGCGCACAGCATGAACCTATATTTTAAAATAAATTTCATTTATCCCAATTGCCCCTTTTCTGAAACACTAATAGAACAAACTGTCATGGTAGAAGCTGAGGAGGGACAGGAAGAAACGAAGGCCCTGTGGATAATTCAGAAGTGATATGCCATGCATGAGAAACAGCACTGAAAAATGCATGAGAGCTGTTTTGTAAAAAAAATGCACTGTGGAAATGCTGGCTTCCTTGGAAGAATCAAGAGCAATAAATAGAAAGAAGCAAGACTGCAAAGAGCCTGAAACTGAGAGCAGAAAGGTCTCAGAAACCTGACTGGGTTGGAAAAGGGGAGGCACTGGAAGTTTTCAGAGAGGAGCGGATGATCCACGGGGACATACTTGAAGAGGACCCTGTGTTTTGCATGTGACTGAGGTCAGGGCAGAGAAGGCAGCTGTAGTCAACACAAGTGAGGATTTTTGCTCTGGGGGAAAAAGAAAAAAATGTCAGGTCTAGAAAACTGTAGAAGGAAGGAGTGACACAGCCAGCTCCTCTTCTCGTCCTGCCTGGCACTGGGCTGCTGCTGCAAAGGGGAATGACGACTGAAGTCAGTGCAGCAGGCGCAGGGAATGAAGACATACTGCTGAAGCACAGCCTGCCCGAGATGAGTGTGACATTGGTTTTGTGTGACTGTCATACTTGGACTGGTGTCCAGGAGCTGGGGATTATTATAACAATGACATGGCAATGGGTTGAATCTCCTCAATGGCAAAGACGAGTAGGGGGATGCTCGGTGTCAGCTGGAATGAGCAGTGGTGCTCCCCGGTACAAGAAATGCCAGCCTTCACTCCAGTCCTTGTTTTATTTTTTAACTACAGAAAACACATCCTTTGCAACACACAGGGTGGCCAAATAGATGCAGGGGCTACCTGAAATCCAAAGAGCACAGGGATTCAGACAGGAAAAAAAAAAAAAAAAAAAAAAAAAAAAAAAAAAGATTTCATTTGCAGCTATGTCTATAAAGCAAGATTGAGGATGCCATTTGGCATTGGGCACTGCCTGTGTGGTGAAGTGTTTCCTGAGTGTGTAGGTAGACTCTGAGGAAAGTGAACCGGGTAATTGCCTTTCCTGGGGCATCAAACACGGGGATAGGGAGAGGGACAGAGATAATAAGGAAAACGTAATGCTGAACTGCCTGCCTGATTATTTAGCAGGTGCGTGTGTGAATGTGTCTCTGTGCACACCTTTAATTAGCCTAGAAATCAAATGACTGCTGCAGAGTCTCTCTCTCATGATTTTTAAAGGACCCCTCTGTTGTGCATTTTAGTGGCAGATTTATAAAGGAGCTGGGAAACAGTGTGGGGGGGTTTCAACACTGATGCCATTTCCCAGGCTTGGGAGGCAAAGCATCCCCAATCAGGAGGGAGCCAGGAGACTGGGGGAGCCCCTAGTGCCCTTCTCTCTGCCCTCCTCCTTAACAGCCACAAGCACAAGAAACACAATAAAGGTCCAAGTCAGCCCAGCTGATGCCCAGCTGTCAGACCCTGATGGAAATGCTGGAGGTGGGGCACAAGGGTGTCATCTGGGTAGAAACGGTGCATTAAAATCACCTTGGCTCACGCAGGTTCCAGAGTTGCACCGACTGCCCAAGGAGTAAACTGTGGAGAAGCAGGGCCTTTGCACCAAAATAAATCTAGTGTCCTTTGTCATGCCCACAAGGCAAACCAAGATGCTCATTTGAATCCATGAGATTGGCATTTTCTTGTGGTGAGGGCCAGAGTGCCTGGCTTGGAAAAACAGGAGGAAATACAGGCAAAATTTCACAGTCCTGGCCAAATGCATTCACCTCCATTCATTGCTTTATCTTCCTGAAGGATCCTCTATGCACTGGCAGTCCCAAAGGTGTTACCATGTTCTTAAAATGTTTTCAGTATAATTGAACTTGGTCAGCCTATGATGAAGGCAAACACAAGCTGACAAGCACAGGACTGACCCTTATACGTTGATCATATCTTCCTTTCCCACAGAGATATGACTAGGAAGAAGGAAAAGCCTTTAAAAAGCCCCTGAAAGTGGCTAAAATAAGAATTGGCTGAAAAGGGAAAAAATTAACACTTAATTTTTTATTTCCCTGAATACAGGAGGAGAACCAAATCTTCCATTTGTGTTTCTTTGAATTATAGAAAGGAAATTCCACAAAAAATCATTTTATTTCCTTCAAAGCTGTTGAAAACTTATGTGTTGATGACTTACGTGCTTCATGTTACAATGTCAGGAGGAAAGGTTGGGTCTTTAAAATATTCTTGTTGTTGTTGTTGTTCATAAAAATAAATGTATTTTTTGTTCCTTTCATTTTGACATGCTTTGTGAAGAGTGTATGCTCAGCAAGTCTAAAAACTTTTGGGACAACCTGTCACAGCCTCTAGAAATAGACTAAATAAGTGTTAACCAAGACATGAAATATGAAACACAACAACACAAGGCAGAATGAAGTGAAACTGTGCTCTGATTTCAAATCACGCATAAACAGATTTCCTTGCAATAAGTACAGCACCTGATTTTTTTTTTTTTTACCATTTCCCTTGTGTTTCACTTGTGTTATCTTTTC